CCCCCCCCCCCGGGCCCTTTTTTGCGTACGTACAATGAGCTTTCCATCCACCCCTTCCCCCACCCCACAAAAAAAATTAATAATAATGACGTCACAGATTAATGTGTAATGGGTTTTCGCCTCTTATGGGGCCGTCCATAAAGTAAGTCACGCTATATTTGATCTTTTTTAACCCCTCTCCTGTCAAAAACTGTCACAAATCTCGGAACCCCCCCCCTCCCCAAAGTACGTCACACTTTCGAACAATTAAAAAAAAAAATTAACATCTAATTAAAATTTAATCTAAAACACACTTCACTTTTAAACTGTATTAAAATATAAAATGTCCACTTAAAAGAACTATCACATTATTAAAATGACTTTAATAGTAGAATAGTTAATTGTCAACAGTTGTCACAGTTATTCATTGAAGCAGTAAATCAATCTAGACTGAATTTGAAAACAAAAATTGCAAAAATTAGACTAGACAATTATATAACACACATCATTTATCTGCTGCTTTTTCATTTACAAAATGAGAGGTCGAGTTTTAGAGAATTTCCGATTATGAAATCTTTTTTACACAGTACATTAGCGAAACTTGACCTCACCCTGTGATTAAACAGTCAAAAGGAAACAAAACAATTTGACTAAAAAAAAAGACCAGATTGACAAATTATGTGACAAACTCTTGTGCTATATTGAATATGTTTATTACGGGCCTGTGAATTATGTTTAATTGAAAAATATTCACTGGACATCATCCATCCATGGTGAAGTGAAGTATCATCCATAGTTACGACTGACATCAATCTTTCAGCATCATCGTTTCCAGGAAGGATAATTGCAGACAGATCAACTTCATCCTCATGTAGCCACTCAACATCCTATGAATGTGCATTTTCTCTTCTGGCAATAACTGCCATGAGTTCTCTTTGCCTTCTAGCAGTGATTCTCAAAGGACGGATGCGTTTTATCTGAGTTGATCCTGGAACAGTTTGGGTTGGCACATTCTCCCGAGCCCGAGCTCTGTGTTGTCCTGCATGTTTCTTCGACATTTTATGTTAGGCTAAGTATAAGTGACATACTTTGCAAATTCGATCAAGTAAGCTGGTCTGCAAAGTTGGACAATAAAGATCATATAGTTGTACTTTGAAAACTCCTGTTGATCTCGGCAAGGCTATACATAAAACAAGGCTTCGCAACAGCATATTAGCGCTCCTAGCGAGAGGAAGGAATCGTGAACAACACATTGAGGAGATACGCATTTCATGCTATTTTGACATAAAACTAATTCCAATGTTTCACAACATTTTTGAAAATTATTTAAAACTATTAAATTCTACTTTAAAAAATAAAAAAATAAATTAGAAATACATTTTTAAAAATAAATAAATGTGTGACGTCAAACGAGGCCTGACCCCCCCCCTTCCCCCTTGTCACAAACTGTCACACTTTCTTACACCCCCTCCCCCTTTGCAGCGTGACGTACTTTATGGACGGCCCCTGTTGGCGAGCATAGTGGTTCCCAAATTAT